GCCCCAGCAAGGGGAGAAGGTAGGAGGGGGAAAAAATAAGGCATTAACTTTTGACTAAAAAGGCACTTTATTTTCATCTTATTTATTTTGGGGTTTTGGGGCAACAACAATGGTATTCAGGGTTTTTTCCTGGCTCTGTGCTCAGAGATGAACCCTCTGTACCTGGTCCACATTGGTGCCTTACCAGGTACTAGCGCTCTCTCTCTCCTCTCTCTCTCTCTCTCTCTCTCTGTCTCTGTCCCCCAAAGGCACTATTAATAGAACTGATAGGCTGCCCTCGTTTAAAAAGCAACCACACACGATGTCTCAATGCCCAGCTGTCTTTCAGAATCATTAAGATGTAGTCAAGAACAGAGGCCATTAGCCAGGAATCGAGTTAAATCATCCAATTAATGAATCAGGACTATTCCCCACCTGTCTCAAAACTTTCTGGCCGTTGCTAAGATACATGCCCATTCATTCCAGGAGTGTTTAATGGATGAAAAACAATTCCTCTAAGAGTGGAGACAATGGAGAAGGGCAGAGAACCAGCGCTTTTTAGAAATATTTCTCAAGAAAGTTCTTTGGGTGACTTTATAAAGAACAGGCCTGGCACAAAGGAGAGTGGCATCCCAGACTTCCCTACGGGCATTCTTCCAGCATTCATTCATGACTTAGAAACCCTCCTCTGGGATGGTACAGTGGGCAGGGCACTTACCTTGCTCAGGGTAGACTCGAGTTTGATCCCTGATACCCTATATGGTCCCCTGAGCAACACCAGGAGTAATTCCTGAGTACAACCTCTGAGCATTGCCAGGTGTGGCCCAGAAACAAAAACAGCAAAAACACATCTCCGGTGTGTGCTATCCACCAGAATAACCACGCTGCCAAGGAAGAGTGTGTAAACACAAAAGGACAGCAGTGCTCTATTTCTCCATCACCTGCGTTAGGTAGTCTAGGGCCGCTTCCCCCACCCGGGGGAGGTCGATGGTGATGGGCAGGCAAAAGAAGGAAAGAGGGCCAGGCTGGTTGGTCTCAAGTGCCATTGATTCCAATCTCATCTCCATTCACTCCTATCTCTCCCTGCTTCTTCCCCCAGCCATGCTACTTCATTCTCCTTCTCCATCCCCCTTCAATCTCCTTCTGGCTCTGGCTCCCCCAACCCCCTCTTATAGCCTAGTTAAATCCCCCAGCACGAGGGCTTGAGGATCACACATAGGTGTGGTCACAATCAATAGGGGTAAAATCCTTCCCTCAGGGAAAGCTGCTTCTAGGATAGATTCTCTTTCAGCAGGACGACCCACTCAAGGGCGGAATCCCATGGGTGTGTTTCTTCTCTCCTTGTCCAACAAACATATAAGCATTTATAATATTAATCATTTTGTATGGACACAGTAAGAGATACATTAAGCTTATAGAATTGCTCTCAATCTCAGACTACAGTGCTCAGGTGAGATTAGTCTTTCCTATCCCTAGCAGGGTCCTAATCTTGTCGTTGCTTTTGGATCATTGACAGCATTTGTCCATGACCATGCTCTCAACTTATAATTGAGTATTGCGGCTCTTTGGCCTGGCCCACTTCAATGCCAGGGTAGCTCACAGGTTGTCCTGGGCCCATTCAGTCCCTCGTTGGGATCCTGCTTTTGGGGTGCTAGGAACTAAGGGCAACTGAGGCTGAAGTCGAGAAAGCAGAATAATATTTAAAGCCAATTAAATCCCAAGTTACAAAAGCATAATATTAACTGTCTTCCGAAAAGGGCATTGCTTTAAGGTAAACTATTCAAAAGACACAAGGAGAGGAGAAAGGCAATAATAACTTACAAAGGCAATATTAACTTACAAGTTCAGAGTCCTAGAAGGATCTGAACTTACAAATTAACAAAAGCTGATTGGGGGGAAAGCTGGTTAACTGGTTGGGGAAGAGAAGAGGTTACAGATAAACAAAGGAATGGGAGTGACTCAGGAGCACTGTGATGGGTGTAACCTGATAAACCTAAGCTCTTTGTGGCAAAGGAGAAAGGACAAATCAAGGTTATCCTATGGTACAACTGTACCATTTTGTATCTTGTTTCCCTCTGTTCGATGTCAGCCATGATGTAAACCAGCCAAACATGCTCCTCAAGAGAACTAGAACCAAGATTTTTGTTTGTTTCTGGGCCACACCTGGTGGTGCTCAGGGTTTACTCCTGGTTCTGTGCTCAGGGATGCCTCCTAGCAATGCTGGGGGCTATGTGTGGTGCCAGGGATTAAACCTGGGTCAAATGTGCAAGGCAAATGCATTTCTCACTGTACTAACTCTCCCCCCCACCCCAAGAATTTTGTTTTGAAAGGAGGTGTGATACAGTGGAGAGACAGATCTACAGGCTAGGTGCTGCCTTTGTGTGGAGCAGGCCCAATTCCAGCTCTGGCACCATCTGGTGCACTGCTGGGAATGACCCCTGAGCAACTTGTCCCACTGACTGTGGCCCCCAAACAAAAACAAGCCCCCAAACATTAGGTATGAGAAAAAGCAGAGACACGGACAATGTATTGGACGCTAAATCCAACATGAGTATGAATTTACTAGAAGACATCAATTTCTCCAGAGAGAATCAGAAAATATTCTGGGAGATGGAATTAACTGGAAAGGCTCAAGGCTACAGAGAAATGCTTATTTGGAGACAAATGACCAAAACGAAGTATTCAGAGCTCAGAGGAACCAGGTCACAGGGGCTTGGGATCAGCTGGCCCAGGAGACTTCACAGGAAGCCATTAGGAGCGCCCGCTGGGCCTAATTGTTTTTAGAGCATATGGTGCTCAGTGCCACCCCCAGCTGTGAGTTCCCTGGCTTTTGTCATCTTGTGTCGGGACCTGGAGTAAAAAATAGGCACTTAACTTCCCTTCCACTAATTTACTATTTCTCCTCAGTACCCTCTTGCACAAGCCAGATTATCTGGGCTACAGAGAAACTTCAAGGCCCTCCATGAAGAGCTAAGAAAATCGTATGACAGACGCAGAACAGTTTAAGAAGCACCACGTTGGATGCAGGACAAAAGCACAATAAATACGAACATACTGGGACAGCTTCCGAAAGGCTATTTCATTATACATTTAACAGGACTGCTGGGAATGGGCCAAAAATCATTTACGGCACCCAGAAAAACTTTATCAAGCATTCAGCATTTATTAAAATTAGGTTAACTGCTGCATTTCCTTCATGGGATAAGATGAATCCAAAATAAGGCTTCATTTCTAGAATGTTGAACTTAAAAATGAATTTAACACAATGAATTATTTGTATATGCAAGATCATAAATATCTGTTGAAGGAAATTAGAACAATGACATTTAAAAAAATTGTACTTAAGTACACAAAAACATGAACAAATACACATTTTAAAAATTCTGACAATACTTGATAAAACAGAACTCTTTATTGGTAAACCATTGGGACCCAGTGAGAAGAAGTTCCTCTCAAGATTTTTGTTTTGTTTGGGGGCCACACCCAGCAATGCTTAGGGGTTACTCCTGGCTCCATGCTAAGGAATCACTTCTGGTGTTCAGGAGACCATGTGGGGTGCAGGGGATCAAATCCAAGTCAGCAGCATGCAAGGCAAGTGCCCTGCCCACTGAACTATCACTCCAGCCTCACTTTCAAGATTTTTTTAGATCTATGATCACCCAATCCACAGGCTAAGATCTGAACTGAATAGAGAAGCAAATCTTTACTGATCTCTAAGTTGTAACAGTTCAACGACCACTAATAACTCGAAAGCAATGCTTTCCTAAAAAAATGAACCAAACCAACTTCCCCCCCCCATATTTAAAAGAAAACTTCTAAAGTTACGTTTTCTCTGAGGGCATTTGCTTGGGGGTCAGTCTGAGAAGCCAGGGACAAACCTCCAACTCCAGAGGTTCCTGCAGAGTTGTAATGACAGTCGCTCGCCAGAGGAGGCGCCTCACAGACTATCACAGCCCGGCTATTCCCACGCGAGCTTTTCAACAGAATCTTGGTGGCACCAAGTCCAGAGTCATTCATAAAGACAACAATACTGTGGGAATTAAGTTACTATCTTAAGCAATGGGAATTAGGAAAAAGCCTTGAGTCTTTTCAGCTACCTTTATACAGCGTGAACCAGTCAGCTGGGACCAGTATGAGAGAGCAAGGGCTGAAGGCCCAGGTCGCAAGATCAGACCTTGGAATTACATTGATATGTTTGTAACTGACCCTAAAAAGGCAGATGGAGAGATAACACAGTGGGCAGGGTGCTTGGTTTGCACGCTGGGTTCCATCCCTGGCACTGCATATGGGCCCCTGGAGCCCTGCCAGGAGAGACCAATCCCTGAGCACAGAGCCAGGAGTAAGGAAGCCCTGAGCACCTCTGGCTGTGGTCCAGAAAGAAAAAAAAAAAAAAACACAGAACCACCCTAAAAGTACAAAGCAAATCTAACTGGAGGGACAAAAACTAAAAAAAAAATAAACATTTCCAGAATAACTAAATCACACAGAGACAAGAACAAGGTTGTCAGAAAGTCTAATTATCCAGTTAGAAAACAATTCTCTACGATGGAGCTTTGAAAATTTCTAGAGTAAAAAAAAAATCAGAAGTGCAATCTGTCTTGGCTACTTCACTCTCTGGTTCAGGGAATCGAGCCACCAGTCCCTTGTTCTACTGGCAAGTATGACAATGGGGCCCCCTCCGGTCTCTCTCTCTCGGTGGGACAGGGGAGGCTGGGCTGCCAAAGCAGCTTGAGGGCGTCCCTGAGGCGAAGGAAGGAAAGGCAGAGTGCCCAGCCCCTCCCCCTCTGGAATCACATGCTCTCCCAGCCCATGGCCCCGTTTCCTGTCATCTTCCAGAAAGGTGGAGATCAGGTGTTCCAGCGGCTTCGTTTTCCCGACTCCTGACTCACCGCTCCTCAGGAGAACACCCAACTCGAGAGCGTGGAGGGCACGGGAGGATATGGCTCCTGAAGGCAGGAAAGCAGGCAGGGGAAGCCAGGGGCGCAGAGGAGGGGGCAGGCCAGGGGCCAGGGGCTGGAGGCCGGAGGCGTGTTCCCAGCCTTTGTCCTCCATCCGCAGGTGCAATGCCTGGGTGCAGCCACCTTGCCCTGAGCGGCTCCCTGGGACTGACCCCTAGTGCACTTTGCTGTGCACTGGGTAGAGAAGAGTCATGTGCTCCGCCCCCTTGAAGGGCAGCTTCTCGTTGGAATAGTAGTGTACCACTTCCGGGATGCTGGCAAAGACGGCGCTGGTCTGATTCAGGGTGTATTTGTTGTCCTTGGTCTGGGCCACGATGATGTGGACACATCCTTGACTTGTCCTGGAATGAAACACAAACCCAGGCGACGTCAGGGAGCAACCTGCCCCGCCACAAGAGGGCGCTCTCCCCAGCAAGCGTGAGACCCACTCCTGTCTCCACTGCCATAGGCAGCTGGCTCCCCGGAAGGGCGCTTAGGAGCTGCCCGGCCCTCCGCCACATGTGGGGCGCCCTCAGCGTTTATCTTTCATGCACACAAGTCATCAGCTACTGGAGGGGGCAGGGGCGGGGGTGGGGGTATAGTTGGTAGTGGTGGAAAAAGCAAAGTCCCACTGACCCCCAAACTCCCAGTCCAAGTGCGAGACCACCAGGGGGAACTTCCCATTCATGAAGGGAAGAGGAAAGGAAAGTTCTGGACGGACTTGCGGGTGGTAGGGACTGACAGCCAGCACTCCAGCAGCCTGGCCCCAGGAACACACAGAGCTATTCCTGGCATCTGTCTGCCGCGATCCCTCTGCCCCACGCTCCGCGCTCCCCCCGCCAGCCTCGCTCTCCCTCCAGTCTGATTGTTTCAGCTGCAGGGGCTCAGCTTCCTGAGGAAGGAAGTGCTGTTAGGGCTCTTGACAATGACCCTCCAATATAGCACCACAGAGCCCACAGTGCAGCGCCAGTTTCCATGATACAAGCTTCAGCGGCTGGGCAGGGCAGGCAGACGAGCTTCTGTGCACACTCAGAGGCTGGGGTGGTGGGGGAGGAGGACAGGAGTGAGTGGGTGGCTCCTTCTCCCCCAGGAGAAACTGATGTCAGAACTTCAGTTGGCATCTTGACACTCGGTGTGTGTGTGTGTGTGTGTGTGTGTGTGTGTGGCGGGGGTGGGGGGGGGGTGGTTACTGACTTACAAAAGTCCCAGGCAAGAGAGCATCAAAGCACGACTATTGCCCCTGTTAGAGGTCTGAGTGCGTCCTCTCTCCACCCGGGCCATGCAAAGCAGAGGGTGAGACGGTGGAACAGGATCATCTGGCGCTAGAGACGGGGCTGGGGGGACTGGTGTCTCCAACCCCCACGCTGCGTCCTTATCCTCCGCACCTCTCACATTCTGGGGCCCCAGCAGGCACACCCCACTGAGCCCGGCAGAGAGGTGATCAGGGCGGCCCGGCGCGCCTGTGGGACCCAGGAGGCTCCGGCACTTACTTCAGCGCAATGGAGTACCGACTGTTCCCCGACTCGCTGTTCCGAACCAGGTACCCAGCTTCCCTGCAGGGCTGGAGCAGGCTCTCGGCCTCCGCTCGGCTGATGGCCCCATGGTACCAGCTGCAAGGGAGGCAGGAAGGCCAGCATCAGCCCTCGAACTGGGTGTGCCTTTGGCCCACCGAGTTCCACACACCCCACTTCTTCCTTTTTAACTACACCCTGCTGTGCGCAGGGTTTACCCCTGGCTCCGTGCTCAGGGATCGCGACTGTTTTGCTTTTGTGCCTCCCCTGGTGATGCTCAGAGCTTACGCCCGACTCTGTGCTCAGAGATCACTCCTGAAGGTGCTCAAGGAAGCAGGTGGGGTGCCGGGTATGAACCGGAGTTGGCTGCCAGTGAGGCAGGCGCCCTGCCTGCTGTGCTATTGTTCTGGCTCCTTTGGTCTGTTTTGGGCCACACCGGGCTCTAGGGTGGCTCCTGGCGGTGCTTGGAGCTGGAGGCGCTGGCAGAAGGGGCACAGGGCCTCCTGCATGTAAAGCACGTGCAGCTCATCAAAAGGAGAGCGATAACAGAAGGGAATGCGCTGATCAGCTCCTGGCTGTGAGCAGAGGCTCTGGACTGGGCTTGAAAATGGGTTTCACTTGGGGCTGGAGAGACAGGACAGCAGGGACAGTGTTCCACCCTCTGCTGCACACAGGGTCCACAAGCACCACCAGGAGTGCCCCCGGGGACAGAGTTAGGCTCCCAAAATCTCTTCCCGCACTCCCAAAAAAATGGGACCTGGAGTGATATAATACAGCAGGTAGGGCATTGGCCTTGCACGTGGCAAACTCCGGTTTGATCCCCAGCACCCCGTATGGTCCCTCGAGCACTGCCAGGAGTGATTCCTGAATGGCAGAGTCAGGAGTAACCCCTGAGCATCGCTAGGTGTGGCCCAAACAAAATAAAACAAAATATGGGTTTTTCCAAATGCTGCTCCCCCCAACAACACACATAAGTACTTATGGATGCAGGAATGAGACATGGGCCAGTGCCCACCCTGGTCGCCGGGGATGAGGACACTCACGGCTGCTTCTCCAGGGGCAAGGAGGGGTCCACTCTCTCCCCCTCGCTGTGGTCGGGCAGCGCTGGCTTCAGGATCTTCTGGGTCCAGCTCTTCTGGCGGAGATGCTGCCTCCCCGTCTCCTCCTTGGCGCACGGCCGCTCTGCGCCTTCAAACTGAACTGGAAGGAGGACCCCAGTGAGCCCCAGGCCACCCGGGGGACATCCTCCACCTCCAGGAGGAGAGGCACCCCGTCCCTGTCACAGGTGACTGTGCCCCTCTGGGGCTGAGCTCCTTGAAGCTCCTCCCCACCTGCCACTTCAAGGTGCCTTCAGGGAAACAGCCCTGCGGCTGGCTGGCTGGCGGGAGCCACCATAAAGAATTACAACATGGGACTTTCTTTTTTTATGGGGGGTAGGACACACCTGGTGGTGCTCAGGGAACCTCCTGGTGGGCTTGGGGGTCCCTATGTGGTGCCGGGGATCGAGCTGGTGTGTCAGTGTGTGCAAGGCCAGTGCCGCCCCCCTGTCCTGTCTCTCCGACGGGTGGGGGCTGCTCCCCAGGGCCCGGCCTCACCCGACAGTGCCCGGGCGATCTGCTCCTTCTTCCACTCCCAGGGCTGCTCGTACTCGGCTGCAGGCCTCCCGTCGTTCTCAGGCAGCCGGCCATGGCTGTCGGGGGCCCTGGCCTTGCCCTCGGCCCTGGGGGCAGCCCCGTCCGTGGGCTCATAGGGCGTGTCGTACAGCTGGGGGGCCTTCCCCAGCAGCTCCTTGGAGCCCCTCCTCCGGGCCAGCGTGTCCCCCTTCGGGCCCTGCTCCCCTGGCTCGCACGGGCCGTCCAGCAGCTGAAGGGCCTTCACCAGGGGATCTTTGGAGCCACGACGGCGAATTTCTGAAACACACACACCCGAGGCCATCAAAGATCGCACAGCACCCAGCACTCACCGGACAGTGCCAGTGGCCTGGGACCAGGCCCATGACTCCCCCACTGGTAGGGCTGGAAGGCAGCTGGGGCCATGCCCACACCCGAGAGTGCCCCAGCTGCTCCCCAAGGTGCTGCAAAGGGAAGGGGCTGCCTCTACTGCCCGCTCCTGTCCACACAGGCATCAGGGTATGCAATTAGGGGCCACCTGACCACAGACACCGCCCCTGCTTGCCCCGGGATCTCTCCCCGTCCCCGCTGGCCCTGCCTAGTGTCCCCGTGGGCAGCAGGCTCTGGCCCTCAACATCAGACACACTTGGGAGCAGTATCTGTGGAGAAAGGAAAGCTAGGGTGAGGTGGTGCCCAGCGACGTGCCCGAGGGGTGTGCCCTGCCGTGAGAGACTCGCCACCTCCATATACCCTCGTTGCTGCAGAGACACGAGGGAGCAGCCAGGTGCACGAAGAACCAAGCAGAACCACGAAGTGGCCACACCTGGGGTCAAGGACAGACACTTCCAACCCTAACCCCCTTTTATTTGGGCAGGGTAGAGAAGGAGTTATCTGGGGCCACATCTGGCGATGCTCAGGGCTCACTCCTGGCAGGGTTCAGCGGACCCTATGTGGTGCTGGGGACCAAACCTGGGTGGGTCGTGTGCAAGGCCAGCACCCACCCTCTGACCTGTCTCCTGCTCGAGGCATCACGTGGAAGAGAACTGAAGCTGGTCTGACTGAGAAAGAGATGGTCCCCTCCATGGGATGGTCCCTGAGAGGGGGAATCCCCAAAAGGGGGGCTCACAGGACAGCCCGCAGTATAGGGCTCAGCAGAGGCCAGAGGAATTGGGGGCAGCCGTGGAGAGGCCCACAGTGCGCCTCAGAGCCAGGAGGTTTAGCGGTTCCTGGGGCCAGAGAGAACAGGTGGCGCCAGGACACCGTCAGGTCCAACATGCAGACAGGAAGTCAGAAACCTCCAGCCCGAGCTCAGGCTGAGACAGAAGCATAAGCTGGATGCAAATCTCCTGACCCTCTGCAGGAGCTGGGCTGGGCAAGATAGACAGACCTCCCTGGTCACTGAAGCAATGAACATCATTCCCATCAGAGCCCTTGGCTGTCTGCCCACGTGGGGGAGAGTCCTCTCCATCTCCCTGTCCTCTGACAGACCAGTTCTGCTCCCACGAGGGGAGTGAATTCCACTCTCACCCCTTCCCCCCATCCCTACCAGTGTCTGAGGGGCTTGGGACCCTCCGCCCCCTCCAACCCATTCACTGCTGCCGCTACCCGCTGGCCGTGCCTCCCACAGGGGCTGCTGGGGGTCCAGCCCTCTCACTGCTCTCTCCCAGGGTCCCCAGGTTCACTGCTCCAATTCAGTGGGCACCACCAGTGCCGAGCCCCCACATCTGGCTTCTCTGATGGGACACGATTCTGTGGCAGTGGAGGGGTGGGCAACTGAGGGTGGCAGGCAGGAGTGCTGGCAGCTGCAGACGCAGGGTCCAGGGCAGGCCTGGGGCCACTCGAGAGGGTCTGAGCCATGAGTCTAAACCACACAGAGGAAAGGAAGGGGTGGGCACAGAGGGGTGCCAGAGGGCTGCAGGGCAGAAGCTGGGGCTGCTCAAGAAAGGGGGAGGAGGAACCCCAAAGAAGAATTGTGAGGCTGGCAGGGCTGCAGGGCCAGGAACCCAGGGCGCCTGAGGCTTCAAACTCGAAAGACATAAAATCATGTAGGGGCCAGAGAGCGCAGCGGCAGGTGCCTGCCTGGCACACAGAGGCCCTGGGTTTGAGCCCAGCACCACGTGTGGTTCCCCGAGCACTGCCTGGAGCCGTCCCTGGGGGTGGCCCCAAAGCAAACCAAAAATTAAGTTCTCTTAGAATGGGCCGGTGCAGGTGTGAGTCCCTGCTTGCAGGAGCCTCAGCCCAGGTGTGCTAAAAGCAGGAGTAGGGTGTGGGGAGTGGGGCCACAGGAGCCCAAGGGTAAGAAAAGCCCAAGAAGCGCTTCCGTGCTGGGCCCCTGAAGGCCCCCCCCTTCTCAGCTACGGGTGTGGGGAGCGGCTCTGGCCGCCAGGGTCTGTGGCGGTGCTGGAACCCACTGGCCTCAGCCCGGGAACAGGCAGTGGGGGGTCTCCCAACCTTCAGTTTGGCCTCTCTCCCTCACCGTGCTCACCCTAGCCAGTCACAGGGTCAGGGCTCAGGAAGACCCCTCTTCTCTGGGCTGGGCTGAGATGAAGAACTTTTCTGAGACTTCCATAGAACCAAGAATCCAGAAAGTGGCAACACGCAGGCCCTCGTGGGGTTCTTTTAGGAATATTAGGGCCCGGGCCCAAACCCAAGGTGGACTCTTCACTGAGATGGGTCCAGACAGGCCCCCAAGCCCAGTCTCAATGCTCGGCCCTCAGAGAAGGGTCCTGATCATCTGGTTAATGCCAGGGCAGGTGGCCAGCATGGTGAGGCCTCGGCACTCCTGAGTGCTGACCCTGGAGGCTGGCCTCGGGGCCTACCACCTCAGACCTGGTGAGTATACTGTGGGCGGCATGCTTGGGAGGACTCTGCTTCCCAGGATGGCTGGGGATGGGGCCCGATCCACTAATTATCATTCTACTTCCAAACATCGTTTGACAAGAGGGCTGGAGCGATAGCACAGAAGTAGGGTGTTTGCCTTGCAAGCCGCCAGCCCAGCCGAGCCAGGTTTGATTCCTCCACCCCTCTCAGAGAGCCCGGCAAGCTACTGAGAGTATCTCGCCCACACGGCAAAGCCTGGCAAGCTCCCCGTGATATATTCGATATGCCAAACACAGTAACAACAAGTCTCACAATGGAGACGTTACTGGGCCTGCTCGAGCAAATCGATGAACAACGGGAGGACAGTGCTACAGTTTGACAAGAGGGATGCAGGGGCTTGGGGGGGGGGAGGCTAGGGGGAGGCCCCTCCAAGGGCAGCCCTAGGCCAGCCCAGCACCTGGCTGCCCCCAACCTGAGGTGCCATAGAAACAGAAACAATCATGGGCCTGGGAGCCGACCCTTCCTGCAGGAGAAACAGCCCCTGACGTGCAGAGCGGGCCCGGAGAGGAAACCAGCCTGAGAAGGAGGAAATGGCCAGAGGAAACTGCGCCCTGGTTCTGCCGATAGAGGCCATTGACCACAGCAGACAACAGAGCGTGGCCAGCGGGGACAGATAAACACGCATCTGCAGCCAGGGCCGGGCCCTGCGGCTGCCACAGCCACAAGGTGTAGCTGCGGGAACCATCACATGGGCCGAAATTTTCCTTTCTCCCTTCCCAACTCTGGCTGATCCCGAAAAAAACACAGCGTAGGACTGGAAGCGGCTTGGACTGTGGTCTGTGGTCAGTGCCAGACATCCCACCCTCGCCCCGAATTCTCTGAAGAATGTCGGCTGCAGATGCTGCTCCCAGGGAAGGTGAAGCAGAACACCCAGAGGGACCCACACCGGTGACTTCACTGAGGTCTGCAGTGGTCACCAGGACAGCTAAGACAGACTCGAGCCACAGTATGGCAGGCAGGGCTCCTGTCAAGGTCATAGCGAGCAGCCCCGCAAGGCTGGCACCAACCAAGTGGCTCAACTTGCCTGAGCTCATACAACTTGTATGACAAGCTCATACAACTTGTGTGGGTGAGATGGTCCAGGAGGGAAAGGCTCTCCTGCTAAGTGGGTGCTGCTACAAGGACCCTTCAAAGGCCTTTTCAATGTGACAGTTTTCACTGGGGGGCTAAGGGTCCCCCTGTGAGTGAATGCAGAATATTTCTATCCTTTCTTTTTCCTTTTTGATTTTTGGGTCACACACAGCAGTGCTCAAGCATTTCTCCTGGCTCTGCTCTCAGAAATCGCTCCTGGCGGTCCTCAGGATGCACCATATCGGATGCTGGGAATCGAACTCGGGTTGGCCGCTTGCAAGGCAAACGCCCTCCCCACTGTGCTATCACTCCAGCCCTGAATGCAGAACATTTCTGCAGTTCATTTAGCATTTGCTCCTGCTCCTTTAGCAGAATGACAGTGAGGCTTGTACTGGCCTTACCTTATCTTCATATGCCTATCTTTTCCATGATCAATCTTTCGGACATGTCTAAGTGAGAAGTTATTGGTAAATTTATAGATTTTTAGATTTTCAAACCTAAGAGAAAAGTTTTTGGTTTGTGTTTTTTGAGAGGAGGGGTAGTCCTGGGTTTCATGGAAGGTTGATGAGCCTCGAGTCCCTGGGCTGACCAAGGCCTTAGCTTTACTTCATGGTTATTGCTGCATTTTCCACAAGAGACTTCTCTGTTGGCCGTCTGCCTAGTGGGTGTGGCTCCCCGGTCTTTTCCCTGTGGGCCCAAAGCCTAGACTGCAGCCTCCTACATGCTCAATAAAAGTTCAAGAAATATTGGTTGGACGTTACAAACCCACATCATGAACAAGTTTCATGCACCCAAGAGTCTCTCAAAATTGAAGATGTCCTGGGGCCAGAGAGGAAGCTCTACAGTGGGTAGAGAGCTTGCCTTGCACGCAGCTGACCAGGGTTTGATCCCCAGCATCCCATATGGTCCCCCAAGAATTACCAGGGCTTAATTGCTGACTGACCCCTGAGCACTACTGAGTGTAGCCCCAAAACAAAACAAAACAAAACAAAACAAAACAAAAAAATTGAGATATCCTTCATTCCCTGAAAATGTAGAAGCTGGGGGCTCCACTTAAATTTTGTTTGTTCCTTGCTTTGGTGCCATACCCAGAAGTTCTCAGGGCACACTACTGGCTCTATGCTCAGGGACCACTCCCAGCAAGCTCTTAAGACCATCTGGGGTAAAGGGGATTGAATCCAGGTCAGCTGCATGCAAGGACACATACCTACCAGCTACAGCCCCTCTACTTAAGTCTTATTCTCTAGAATTCTTCCCATCTCCTGCAGAAACAAATGTTGGAACTAAACAAACACTAAAATTCTAAGTCCATTCCTTCCTTTCATTCACACACACTCAATCCATATGCATGCACACATACACTCACCCACACACACACTCAGACACAACACAACAACAGACAAATGTTTCATGCTGGCTATTTCTAAACATGGTTTATAACCAAGTACATAAGGAACAAACTGAACAACAACAACAAAAATTTTTAAAAAGAAGAAAAAACCCAACCCAGCAGCAAATCTTTTATTTCCAGTTTCCGATAAACTCACTTCCTGTTATTCTGCCCAGCTGGGTAGCCCATGTGTAGAATAAGAAGCACCGGTACAGTGTCTCTCTGGATATGGACGAGGTGCTTTGTGCTAGGCATTTTAGATGAAGAAACTGTCAAAATAAGCAGCATGTTTTTAAAGAACTAAAAATTCAGTAGCTAAAAAACAAGTCAATTAAAAAACTAAATGAAAAACTTGGGGCTTGAGTACAGCGGGTAGGGCCGTACTCTAAGTTGCCTTGCACGCAGACAACCCGGGTTCGATTCCCAGCATCCATATGGTCCCCCGAGCACCACCAGGAGTGGTTACTGAGTGCATGAGCCAAGAGTAACCTCTGTGCATCGCTGGGTGTGACCCAAAAAGCAAAATAAATAAATAAATTTGGTCCCCTTGACTTCATTCTCCTATTGAAAACAATAATTTTTTAGTCTTCTTAAATAAGTTTATTCATGAAAACTGTTTAAAACTGTAACTTATAGGGGCCAGAGAGATAATACAGTGGGTCAGGCACATGCCTTGCACCCAGCTGACCTGGGTTTGATCCCTAGTCTCCCATGTGGTCCCCCGAACTCCACCAGGAGTGATTCCTGAGTGCAGAGCCAGAAGTAACCCCCAAGATCACCAGGTGTGCCAGTCTCTAAAAGAAAACAACCAAAAAAATCCTTGAAACTTAGTAATTGCTCAAATATTAAATGCTAAGTATGCTTACTACATTCACTATTAAACAATTTTGGTTCCTCAATAAACCTTTCTTTGTCAGTCTGGTTGGAAAGATAGCTTGTGTGTAGAACTTTAAGTGCTTCTCCCTCCCCCCCCCCCCCCCCCCCCGCCACATCTGGCTGCATTCAGGGTTAATTCCTAGCTCTGTACTTAGAGATCACTTCTGGCAGCACCCCAGGGACCATACAGAATGTTAAGAACTGAATCCAGGTTGGCATCATGCAAGACAAGTGCCCAACCTGCTGTACTACCACTCTGGCCCATAAAACTTAGTGTTTTGTACACGTCACTTCAAATGGTGATGGAGGCAACTCAGGTTAGAAAGCAAAACACATGCAGGCTACTGTGAAAGATGTGGGTTCTAATTTCTCCTGTTTTCTCAAAACACAATGTGCACAAGGAATTCAGAATCTCTCAGTCTCTCTGTTCTTGTTTTCTCAACCCAGGGATAGTATTGGCATTCCTTAGCTTATGAGTTCTGTATGTGTTATGGGTGTGGAGTGGGAGAGAGATATATTCCATTTTTGAAAGCATAGCACTCTCCTTATTAGTCTGACTTCAGAAATAAACACCTGAGAAAGCATAGGTAGAATTCTTAGAGAGCGAGGAAGAAAAACCAAAGGCCTGAGAAAGATGATACAAAATCAAGCCCTGGCGATGCTTTGAGAAAGCCACTCAATTTGAGGTAAAGTTTCCCCTTGCTCCTTTCACATCACAGCTATTTTCTACAATTCTGACTAAGTTCATTTTCACTTCCTTTCATTCACAGACTTCATTAGAGGTCACAGTCCAGTGACCTTCAGGGTCACAGCCTGGCCAGGGTACACCCTCCCCAAATGCTGGCCTTATCTCTGCAAGCAGAGAAGCAGGAAACAGCAATGCCTTCCGGTCATGGCTCACTCTCATTCTGTAGCCTGTCTTGAACCAGGCAGGGTGCTGCCAATGGCTTCTGCTCTGGCCTTCTGAGACTCAGCTCTTCGGGGTGTTTTCTAACAAAGTCTTTCATGTGTGACTAGCTTGTCTTTTCCCAGGCCCAAATCCCAGGATGTTCAAGTAAGGTTCCCTGAAATCAGCAATCAGAAATTGCATTTTCCCTTGGAGGCTCAGAGGAAAACTAGGCGAATGATCCTTTCCAAAATTCACAAGCACATGAAATAATACAATCTAGCTATGTAGAATTATCATTAATACCAACTCAAGAGAATGTTGAGGCGAAATACAGTCCCCCTACTTGAGAGTGATTGCCTAGCCCACAAGGCAGGATTGTGCTGACTTAAACTGTTAAGAGTAACTTGACATTAGTTTTAGGTTTGCCTGGATGGCTTGGCTCACAGCGATGATTAGTAATCATTCCTTAGTCATGAAATATTTTATTCATATGCTGCTGAGCTTGCTGAGAAGTACATTTTCCACAATACAGAGCATCACTTCATATCTGGACAACTTAAACTCCTTTGAGCGTATATTCATCTCATCATTTGAGTTTCTGACTCCCATTAAGAATGTCAAAATTTTGAAAGTGGCCAAGATGGGGTGGGAGTGATAGTATGGTGAGTAAGGCACTTGCCCAACCCCAGCCCCCATATAATTCCCTGAGCACAGACCCACCAGGCATAAGCCATGAACACTGTTGGGTGTGGCCCAGCCCTCCCCCCCAAAAAAGTGGCTAAGAATTATATACAAATTATTTTGGGAGGGAACCACAACCAGTTCAAGAATACTCCCAGCTCTGGACTCAGGGAACCATGCCACATAGGGGCTTGAACCTGAGACTCCTGCATACAAAGCACACACTCAGCCCGCTGAGCTCCTTCCAGGAGTGCTCTCCTGTATATTAATCAACTTAAAGCTGAAGATCCCATTCTGAGCACATCTGCAAACTTTCAAGTGGTAACTCTCAGTGAATCAGAAACTCAAGACCCGACACATTTTCCGATGGAAGGCCATCGAAATGTAGAGGAAACGAGCTAGATCTCAGGTCTAATTTCCCCAGCGCCCACTCAGCAGGGTAGAGTCAAAATGCTTCATCTTATTCCCAAAAACCCCAGTTACACTTCCCCCCATTCCCAATGGGCGTGGGACCTCAGCCCCCATCGAGCTGTCCCGGTTACGGACCTGTTATCATCTGCTGCGCGTCATATGGCTCCATGTAGCCATCATTCTCACCAACTCTCTCGGCGTCCCTCTGGCCTTTGGTTCGCTTGGCATCGTAAGGGTCTGCATAGTCTTCCAGGATGATGACCTGTGAGAGAAGCAGCAAGGAGAGTGTGTCAGAGCTATCATAAGTAGAATGGCAATGTGGTCAAATCTTTCCCTGGAAATCTCTCACAGACCAGCAAAGAGCTCACCAGTCTCTGATGAGTTCAGACTTTTTGTGTCATGGACTGTGCAAATATATGACTTGGTAGCACAACTGACTGGCAACCACTCACTGAAACTTGCTAGTCCCTGAGATTCTTTTGATTTCTTGCTCCTCAAGCAAGCAAGCTTTTGTTGGGTGGTCGAAGAGAACGGAGGACACCTCGGATTTTAGAGCAGTAGACATCCACTGAGTGACCACCTTCCCCAAGACTCTGGTCTCTGATGGCAGACCAGCTGAGCAATACAGCCCTCTCAGGTCAGGCAATCACCAGTGACCACTGACCAGCTACCAGCACGACTTGCATCATGAGGGAACCAAAACAAACCCTAGACTTGCTTCCGGTCCTCCAGGAATTTCTAACAGTTCTTAGGAGACAGGCTTTATAATAAGCCAAGAAATAGGTCAGCACTAAACAGGACTGTGGGAATTTCCCAGGTTCAATAACTCCTGGCAGATGGGCTCCCAAGGGCTCCCTTTTAGGCAGTTTAGGGTTTTAATGGGACATTTCAGCCTATTTGAATCATCTGTCAGGGGCACACTGGGGTCTCCTGGGTTATTCCTGTTTTACTGTGTGTGCTTCCAAGTGGACACTGGCCAGCCCTGGAAAGCCTCTCTCCTGTCCAAAGAGAAGGGAAGCGGGTATGCAATCACTGTTCTGCAGCCATGGAGGGGCGGGTCAGGGACCCCTCCCCACAGAGGAAGGCCTGGCCCTGCTCCGCCACCCCCTATTACCTCCTCCAAAGACTTGGCTCTCCCAGGAGAAGAGTGGTGAGGAGACCATCTAAGGGAGAACTTCCAGATGTCTAAGGAGCATCAGACCTCAAGGGAGGCTGACCGTGAGGCAGCCAGACCTCCACTCACGACCTTCACTTTGTCCTTCCTCATCACCTGCCATGGGCACTGCATTCCCTGGGGAACTGGAAGGAGTGTGAACATTGGACTCAACCCTTGCCACAAGGCTCTCACCACTCAGTGGGCCCCTGGCAAGGATCAGCCCGAGCTGGTCCTCACCAGCTGTTCCTCCATATTTGAGACAAGAATGAGGACAGAACAGAGGAACCCACACAAACACACATGGCATGTATGTTATAAACTCCACTTTTTCATTTTTTTGGTGGATGGGGGTCACACCCATGGATGCTCAGAACTTACTCCTGGCTCTGCACTCAGGATTCACTCCTGAAAGGGCTCGGGGGACCAAATGCTGGGGGATCGAACCTGGGTCAGCTGTGTGCAAGGCTGTGCTCTCTCCGGACCCCTCTCTCTGACCCCCCTGGACCCTTGGTTTGGTTTTGGAATGACACCCAGTGGTGGGTGCTCAGAGCTTACTCCTGGCTCTGGGTTCAGGGATCACTTCTGGTGGGATGTGGGAATTGAATCCAGGTCAGTGTTGGGGATTGAACCCAGGTCAGCCGCACCTTCCCTGCTGTTCTGCCTCTCATTATAGGCTCCTGATAGGACCCAGTGGGCAGGAGGTGCAAAGCCCTGATAATTAAAATACCAGAGCCTGGAGAGCCGCCTGGGGAGAAGAGTTTGAGAATACAGGTTGAGGTCTTCCCTCTCTCACACAGATAAAATTCATGCAAAAGCAAGGAAGCCCAAATTTCTCTGGGAGAAGAGGCGTTCCCAGGCACACACTCCTTTTCTTGGGAGCTGCTCCCACTGGAAAACAAGCAGAGAGCCTCTGGCCTGCAAGTAGCAGGAAACACCTTCCCTCTTCCTCTGTCATTTCCTTCAGGGCACTTCCTTCTCTCTTTTTCTGCCCACACAGCCTTTGGAGCGTGGTGCCCCTCGTCCCATAAGGCTGATGCATAGCACATTTCCAGAGAATGAATGGGAAGGCTGTGGGCGGTGCTGAAGAGACTTTTCACAGCAGTGAGGGGAGCTTCCGAATTCACCCAGGAGTGTGGTGGCCACCAGCCCACTCCCTGGGTCTCTGAGAGTCCTGCCCAGAGGTTCAGTTATCCTCCCTTCCTTGGAAGCAGAGCTATACCCTGGTCTGACTTTCCAACCCCCTGGATGGAAATGAAGGTGAGCTCACCTATAAGAGAGTGAAGCTAAACAAAGACACAGGGCCATCACATTCTGGTTATTTCACTAAATGAACTCACAAAAGGAAGCAAAGATGCCATCCCAAGATTGAAGGGTGCTCAGGACTGAACCCCCCTCCCCATGGGTTTAAGTGACCATGCATAGGAATCAGCAAAGATTGGGGCTGGAGAGACAGTACAAAGGGTAGGAACTTGCCTTGTATGCAGACACGCGGGTTCAATCCCCAGCACCGCACAAGATCCCCTGAGCACTATCAGGAGTGATCCCTGAGCACAGGGCCAGGAGTAAGCCCTGAGCCCCCCTTGGTGTGGCTCCTCCCACTACCTCCCAGCCCACCAAAGAATTGTTGGGGCCAGAGAGACAGATGAGGTAGGGCGAGATGAGGACCTGGGTTCCATTTCTGGCACCCGCATAGGGTGACCCACCCAGTCTCCCCCCAAAAGCCCTCTAGAAGTGATCCCCGAGTGCAGAGCCAGCAGTAAGTCCTGAACACTGCTGGGTGTGGCCCCAAAACCCAAAAAGAAAAGAATCAGGAAAGTCGGTGGGACACACCCTTTCGGTCGGCACCTTCCCTGCTGAACCGCCAGGGCCTTTTAAGCTCCCTTCCCACCCGTTAGCTTCAGCGGGGTTTGGAGAGATGGACCAAGGGGGCTAAATTCCGTTTTCTGTGTTGTTTTGTTTGGGGCGGGGGGGAGGGTTGAGGAAGTGGTGTGTTCTTACCGTGTCTTGCTGCTTCACAGCCTTGCCCTTGTCCAGGTCAGGGCCCAGGGAGGATGGGGAAGAGGACGCCGAGGAAGAGCAGCTGCTGCTGCTACTGGTGCTGCCACCCGCGCCGCCCGGGTACGCGCCCTTGGCGCCCTTCTCCTGCGTGTCCACCTTAATGAGCCTGTTGATGTAGGTGCTGCAGCCCGAGCTCTTACTGGCGCCCCGGTGGGGCTCGTCGTCCGTGGCCCGCGAGTTCTTGCGGCCCTTGCCCGCGGCGGCCTGGATCAGCCCCTGCAGGCTGTCCCGGGACAGCCGGCTGTCCTTGGGGGGCGCGCCGCCCGGCCGGCCGGCCCCCAGCTCGGCCGCCGAGTTCTTGCGGCCCTTGCCCGCCGCGGGCCCCGCACCGCCCGCCTCCGAGTTCTTGCGCAGCTTGGCGCTGCCCGCGCCGCCGGGCCTGGCGCGCTCGGACACGGTCTTCAGGTTCAGAGGAAACTCCTTGAACCACTTGGCCGCCATGAGGGGGGCCCGGCCGGCGCGGCTCAGGAGCGTCGTGGCCGCGGAGCAGGCGAGCGAGGAGGCCCAGGCCAGGCACGGGGAGGCGCCAGGGGCCGGGGGCCACTGCATTCCCCGGGGTTCGGGCGCTGCAGGCCGCGGCCAGGTCCCGCGACGGCAAGGGAGCCGCTCCGGCTCGGGGTGGGGGTCCCCGGGGCGCCGAGCGGACGGCCGGGCCGCCGTTCCGGACACGAGCGGCGACAGGCACGACGCACCGGGGCCCCGCCCGGGCTGGTCCGCAGCCTGAGTTGCCCCGTTGGGGGGGATCGGAGTTCTCCGCGCGCTCCAGGGGCTGCCCCCGACTTTTTCTTTTTTCTCCGGGAGGAGAGGTCAGGTTCGTGGAAGCCCCCCGGACAGCCCAGTCCACACTCCCAGGGACGCGAGGGGACAGAGAGGAGGCGGCGGGAGTGTCCCTGGCGCCGCGACGGCCGCCCACCGGCTCCGCGCGTCCCTCCCCCCCGCGCCTGGCGCCTCCCAGCCCGCTGCCTCCCGCCCAGATCCGGGGGCGCCGGCTCAACGCCTCACTGGCCCCGAGGGGCCAGGGATGCAGGACTGGGAGAGGGAAGAAGCGACTGCACGTGCTGCGTGGACGCCCTCCTTGGAGACACCCTCATTTGGGCACCAGCGGCTCCCCCTTTGCACCAGCAGGACGGCTCTGGTCCGCGCACCGTTTCCAAATGCGCTCCGAGCGCGCACGTGCACCGCTCCAGACCCAGGACGTACACCCCTCTGCTCCCCGAGAAACAGGCCCTGCCGGGGCGCTCCTTCCATTCGGCTTGAAACGTTTTGGGGGTGTCGGTACAGGGGTGGCGACCAGGGAAAAGCGCAGAAGCAGCATGCATCGGCGGCCCAGCTGGCACCGCTCCTTTCCCCGGGAGCTCCGCCCTGGCGCCACAAGTGCCCGCCCCCAAGTTGCGGCAGGCTCGGCGATTGGTTATTGAGAGCTGGCCCCGCCCCGCGCCTGCGTTCTAGCCCCTCCAAGAGCCTGGAGCGCGTCCGCAGCAGGCGCGAAGGCTCGAAGTCTCGGCGACCGGTGGCGGGGCTGGAGGTCGCAGCGGCGAGCGGTGGAGAGGTATGAATGGTTAGTTGCAAGGCCCTAGGTCGAGGGCTTGCGGGGACAGAAACGGCACTTCGAGAGGCACGTGTGGCAGCTGCGCCCTGTCTGGTTGGCCCTCTGGGGTGCGGGGTGCGCCTCCCCCATGCAGGTTGCCTGCGGATGCTGCATCAGGCAGGTGCAGATTTTTAGATACCGGACAGTGGGTACAAGTGGACAGCGCAGGGAATTTGTGCACGTGTGAGGCGTTTTGTGCAGCTCTGTAGGCTCCTTAATGTTGAAAGGCGCTTCCCTCCTCTGCCCTCCTTTGGAAACTCCGTGCCCCAGGGGCTTGTGAGATGTCTACCGCGCCCGTTGGCTTCATTTCTGTGGGATCTGGGTGGATTGTTGAGCGGGGGATAGCAGAAGAAATATTTTGTTTAATGCCCGCAGTTCTTTGAAAATGTCTTGACTTTTAAAGAAAAGTTACTGAAATAGTTTCACCATAAAATTTACCTGGTTTGAGTAAGATTCGAAGTTTTTTAAAAAGGCGTATTTAGTATATTAGCACTCCAGTCCTCACTGCAATCTAATTTTAATGAACTTCCATCTCCCCGAAAGTGAAATTTTGTGCCCCTTTGGGACTACTTATAATCTATTTTCTCTCTATATAGGGAAGATTTGCGTATTCTGAATTTTTTCTGCCATACATTAAGTGTCCTTTTGTGCCTGGCTTCTCCCCCCCGCCCCCTTAGCATCATGTTCTGGAGATTCATCCCTGTTATAGCATATATCAATATTTTGTTTTATCTATTCATCACATGGGGGCATTTGGGTTGTTTGTTCCCACTTTGGGACTGCTGTCAACTCTTGCCAACAAATCTTTGGCCATATGGGGAAATGCAAATCACCTCAATAATGACACTTTACACCCACGAGGATGCCTAGAATAAACAATAATTGTGGGGACTCTGGAGATAAGTCTTTCTACCACTGTTGGGACTGTAAAATGGGGTAACCACTTTGGAAAAGTTGGGTCGTTTCTCAAAAAACCAAACCAAGAATTCTTTATGGTCTAATCAGGCCATGCTCAGATTCTCTTCTAGCTAATGAGTTGTAAGAGTTATATGATTAGTTTCTCAAGATTTATTATAAATAATAGTAAATTTTCTCAATTTGTTATTTTCTCAAAATATTTTCTATCAATATATTTTTTCGCTTTCTTTGGCCAACTCCTGGCTCCATTCTCACAGATCACTCCTGGCAGGGCTCTGGGGATCCTCTGTAGTGCAGAGATTGAACCCAGATCAGCCACAAACACATCAAGTGCCTTACTCCCTGTACTATCTCTAGCTCCCAACATATGTATTATTTGTCTTAAAAAAATAGCCATTAAGATACTTCTCCAAACTAAACAGTAGAATGAGTGCTCATGACTTTGGAGTCAAAAGGTCTGGATTCAAAAATCCAGATTCCTCATTTCTGTGCATTGATTAAGTGACTCGGGGGCACATTACCAGGTGTTTCTCTTTAAGCCTTCTGGACTTCACTGGTAAATTGGGATAACAATCCCCAGCTTTTAAGATTTCTCAAAACCTGAGTGGGACAATTAGCTGCTTAGCAGATACCTGGCAGGTCCTATAGGGCATCTTTGCAGGATTTATACAGGGTCTAGCTTGGGAGGTGTTGGTTTGTCTTTTCAAGAAGTCCATGGACCTTTCCACGGATTCCCAGGTAACTGGACTAAGTCCCAGATCTAGTGGAAACCTCTTCATTTTTTTGCATCTGTCTCTCAGTCTTAACGTTCTCAACCACTTTGAGTTTTGTTTAGATTTCGTTACTGCAAGGGCTGTTTCCTCCCACAGCTGGGAACAATTTAGGGGAAACCTGCTGCTTTCTTTCATATTTTATCGTTTTAATGTGTTTATTCTTAAAGAAAAAAATCCTACTGTGACTATGACAAACTTCTTAGCTGTAGGAAAGAACCTAGGCTTTGGAATTTTCAGGCATGATCAGGAGCTGTAGATAGGGCCCAAGGCTGTGGGAAGGACCTGGGACCTGATGTGTTCAGGTTTGTTCTACTACGTAAGCTGTGTTGTACCCTTTTCTGAGTACATTTTATTTTATTTTGTTTTGGGTCTACACCTGGTGATGCTTCGGGCTTATCCATGGCACTGTGTTTACAACTCATTCCTGGCAGGAATTATGGCACCTATGTAATATCTGTAATATCTCTCCAGCCCCCTGCCAATATTTTTGTAGTTGTAGTTTTGGGGCCACATCTGACAGAGCTCACAGCTTACTCCTAGCTCTCCACACCAGGATCACTTCTGGCAGACTCAAGGGACCATATAGAGTGCCGGGGATCAGATCTGGGTTGGCCAAGTGCAAGGCGAGTGCCCTACCTGCTGTACTATCACTCTTGACCTCCTGCCTGTATTTTATTTCATTTTTTATCAAATAAATTTTTTCTACTCAATGAAATTTTGTTATCTTTAGGTCTAGAAGTAAAAGAATATTAGCTCAAATTTCTCACTACAATAATTACCATATCTAATATAATTCTTACATGGTGACTTAGGTTAGACACCAATTAAGAAAACCAGTCAATAACTTCACTATTGATTTTTTTTCTAAGAAAGCTATTGGGTGAATATGAACAATCTAATTTTCTGTCATAAACTTTCAGTGCAATGGATTGGTTTATTTAAGTCAATTTCCTTCAAATGGAATCACCAAATAAACTGCCTGTATTTTAAACTAGGCAGTGTATCATCTGCTGTTCTTAGCTTTGGCTTTTCCATCTGCAAAATAGGAAGATAATACTCTAGCAGGGTGTAGAGAAATGCCTATGAAATCCAGCAAAAAGCAAATCCACGGTGACAATTATTGAGCACTTAATAGGCTCGGGCTTTAAGCAGCCTCTCACCTTTGTCATCTATGGTCAAGACTGGTTTGCATCTGACTGATCAAACGTGCTCCAGGTCGGGAGTTGGGCTCAGCTGCATCTGCCCTGCACTGTGGGAGGTGGCTGTGGAGTTAAAGACACTCACAGGCCTTATTCTTTCTCTTTTTGCCCTAACAAGCTCCAACTTGCTCAGGGGCTCCACCATCACAGTCTGCCGTCAGAAGCCTGACCCATGTGGACAGTGGAGGCAGCTCTGGGGGCAAACCTACCTTTTGTAGCTTCTCCAGGACTCCAGCACTTCCTGGTGTACGTCTCTGCCCTGTCGCCAAGGCCAGGAGCGGACACCGACAGCATGGCTTTAACCTGCCTCTGTGCTTATATCTGTTATCTAATCTTTTTACCTTTCTTTTAATGGGGATTAGTGTTTTCATTTATTCCTCCTCCCTTTCCCCCTCATCCTCTTCCTCCCCTCTCCCCATCTCCCTTCTCCTTTTCCTCCCCTGCCAGCCTCCCCCCACCCGCAGGATTTGCACTCAGGGACCATACATGGTGCCAAGGATTGAATTTGGGTCAGCTGTGTGCAAGGCAAGTGCCCTATCTTCTGTACTACTGTCCTGTCCCACTTATTTAATTTTGTTCCTTCCCCTGCTTTCTTTTGCAGCACTCAGGAGCTACTCCCAGTTCCCTGCTCAGGGGTCACACATTGCAGGTGTCTGGGGGACCAGAGCCCGGGGTCAAGCCGAGGCCTCTGCAGGGCAGAGCAGGTGCTCCAGCCTGTTGACTATCAGTCCAGTTCTATTTCCACTTTGTTTTTGTTACAAAGACCAGAGGTGACTTGCACTGTGTTTTTCTTTTTATTATTATTATTGTTTTCAGATTTTGAGCCACACCCAGCAGTGCTTAAGCACTTACTACTGGCTCTGGGAACAGGGATCATTCCTGGCGGGGTTTGAGGGACCGTTTGGAGTATTGGGGATTTAAGCTGGGTAGGCTACATATAAGGCGAGGGCCATACCCAGTGTACCATCTCTCTAGGCCCCAACAGGTTCTCTCTTGACCTTCCATCGTCCTAGGGATCCAGGGACTGAGAGGGGTGGGGTCCCCTCACTGTTGGGGATGCTGCCACTGAGCGTTAATGTCCAGGTGCCTGCCGAAAGGAAGGATTTGGGCCTGAGCCTCCTCTTGGCTTCTTCCCAAGGTGCTTTCTGTGTCCCGCTTCCTTGCCCTTGGCACTGTGGGTACAGAACACCCCCTTCTCGAGGCTGCATCATCGGCCTCTGTGTTCCTCTGCGACCCTGAGAAAGGGGTTTCCCAGGCCAGGAGTTGGCTTCTCTGACAGGGGTGGGGGGGCATCTTCCCTGGGGCTTTCCCAGGTGGAGGACACAGAATGTCTCGCTGAAGCTGGTCCTGCTCCCATTCCCAGTGGGGCCTCCAGCCACTGGGTCCAGGTATGGGGATGCTTTTCTGCTGTCAGACCCAGAACAGGGTTCCAAGCTTCCCCTGGCTGGAGCTTTATCCCCAGGGATGGGGGGGGGCGTTACTAAAAATGGAGAGGCCATAAGGAGGGAAGTCGGAGAGAGCAAAGGTGATGTGGGCTCACAGTCCAGTCTAACTGGCCATCGACTTGGGAGAAATGGCAGAATTTCACTGACCTGTCCCCCAGCCAGGAGTCAGTACCAGGGGTTAAACTGGACATGAAGGGATCCTGGGTGGACAGTTGCATGAGTCTCTGGACATCCAGCAGCGGGTGCCCCAACTCCGGGGCCCTGTGTTGGGATCCCCATGCACCCCCTCCATGGTAGGACGAGTGCCTATCTTTTGCTCCCATTCTTCCCTCCTGAGTCAGAGAACGGGCAGCTCCAGGCTTGGGGATCCCTCCGCCATCACAGGAGCTTCTGGTCTGTTAGTGAGAAAACTTGGCATCTGGTGACTTCTTGCTCTGAGCTGGGAGAAGAGTATGACAGAGCTGCCCCTTCTTTACGAGAAATTGGTTTCTTGCTCTCAGCCAAAGAGAGCACTGGGGGCTGAGCACTGTGCGGGCTGAGCTCATGCTGCAGTTTAGTTTCCCCAGTACCATGTGGCACCCTGAGCACCCCTGGGAGGGAGCCCCTGAGCACTGGGCTGGGAATCACCCACAAACCCCACTGGTTGTGGGCCAAGAGAAAGCGAACAAGAATTTGAAGGAAGGAGGAATACTTGGGTGGGACCGAGCAGGACGGGCTGTGAAGGGTTTGTCACAGATGCTTCCGGCTGCACCTTAGAACACCCATCTTAGAGGGGGGCCCAGCTGCGTTGTTCATTATGGAGGGGAAGGACTTTAGTGCCCGAGAGAAGGATGCAGGGGGCACAGGGCTTCCATGCCCCGATGGTAGGTGGAGCCGTCGCCTCTCTGGGGCTCTACAGCTCCAGGCTGCAGTAACCAGCCGCAGGGAGAAGGAACCAGAGACTGTACACCTGATTGGTGTCTCCCTCCCACACATGGGCAGCAAACCCAACAAGAATGTCTACATCTAGGGCTAGTGTCATAGAACAGCGGGTAGGGCGCTTGCTTGGCATGTGGTGGTCCCAGGTCCGATTCCAACACCTCGTATGGTCTCCCAAGCCTGCCAGGAGCAGCCCCGATCATTGCCTGATGTGGCCCCAACACCAAGAGTTTAAAAACATCCTAAGCTAGCAAGTGAAATGTTTCTCCAATTCCCTGTGGCATGTCATGTGAACCCAAGGAAGGGTGCCAGGGACCTCTGCTTGAGTGAGCCCGGGGTCCACTCTGGTGCGCAGGGGTTACCTCCTGGCTTGTTGATTGGTGTCTGGAGTCGGGGTGGGGGTGGGATGAACCAGAACCCGGGCACTTTGTGCTGGGAAGCCCTCTCCCATCCAGCGTGGGGGTGTGGACAGGGAGAGTTTGGGGCAGGGGAGCATTATTCTGCAGTTGCAGTGGCACACTGGAAGATGTTCACTCTCACTGGGGCTGCTTGGCTTTGCAGGGAACCCTGTCGGGAGGAGCCAGCAGCATGTGAGTTGTTCCCTTTTGCTGAGTCAAAGCACCTGCTTTCTCCTCTTTGCCTTCTTGCTCCTGTTCCCCACTCACCACTCCAGAGCTAAGATCCGCACCTCTCCGCCACCCAACCCCCAGCTTCTCTTACCTGTGACCATAAACCTAAACACGTCTTGGCTGTGAGCACTTTTCTGTTTTTGTTTTTGTTTTGGGGTTTTGGGCCACACCCGGGGATGCACAGGGGTTACTCCTGGCTCTGCACTCAGGAATTACTCCCGGCTGTGCTTGGGGGACCATATGGGATGCTGGGGATTGGACCTGGGTTGGCCGCATGCAAGGCAAGCATTCTACCTGCTGTAGTATCACTCTGGCCCCAACTGTGAGCACTTCAATTGGAAGCTGAGTCTGGGCGGAGGAAGGGGGCATGAGACTTAGCCTGCTGCTCAGCTCCGATGCTGAGATTGTTTCGTAGGTCCTGGGGCAGCCATGCCCAGCCTTCTGCTCAGCCCACCAGGAAGGATGGTGTGTGGGAGGAACAGAAGTCTCCAGGTGAGTTGACATGGGTGCTTGCTGGGATCTGAGCTAAAGAGCAAGTTCCTCAGCTAATCTGCTCTACTACCCAATTCCTGGGAGGGGAAAAAGACAAAAAGAAAATCTGCTCCCCGGAACCTCCGTCTTTAAGTGAACAAACAGAAAGCAGCCTCCACTAGGTGCCTGAGTTGCTGCCACCTCCTACCCACTGATTCTAGAACCCCCCAGCCCAAGGGAGGGTATCCCCATTGGGGGAGAGTACTTGCAGCAGGGGTAGGGGGGTCTACACCTGGTAGTGCTCAGGACTTATTCTTGGCTCTGCTCTCAGGAACCACTCCTGGCAGTGCTCAGGGGACCATATGGAATGCTGAGAATCGAACCCAGGTCAGCCACATGCAAGGCAAGTGTCCGGCCCACTGTACTATGTTCTAGCCCCAAACCCGCTTCTCTCATGTATCTTTTCTTTTTTCTTCCTTCCTGTGTGTGTGTGTGTGTGTGTGTGTGTTGGGGGTGGATAGTACAGCAATGCTCAGGGGTTCCTCCTGGCCTCTGCACTTACTCCTGCACTTACAGGAATTACTCCTGGCAGTTCGGGGGTGACAGGGGTTGGCTGTGTGCAAGGCGAATGCCTGACCCGTTGTACTGTTGCTCTGTCCCCACTTACGTCCTCTTTGTTGTAGGGTTCCAGAAGAGAGGGACAGAGGTGTATGTTGGCAACCTGCCCGTGGACATCTCGGAGGTGCTCTTCCGCATCATCACACTAGTCTGGCCTCTCACCCCCTTCTCTGTGCCGCCCTGAACTCCCCTCCCTGCAGTCCTGGGGTCTAGACTTAGCACAGCCCCTGCAGTGACCCTGGAGCCAGTGAGTGGACGGAAGGGCTCCTGTGCTTAGCCCTCCGCCCTCACGACCCACTGCTGCTCTGGGCCCACATGAGCTTCTGCCCTCCCCTGCCCAGTCCCAGTGCCCTCACTGGCCCTCCCTGCTCCAAACTCCAAGGCTACCCTAGTTACTCCCCTCCCCCAAGATTGCATACTCCTACCCCCCTCCCCCCACCCCATGTCTCTTTGCTTTAGGGCCACACCCAGTAGTACTCAGGGGTTAATTCTGACTCTGCTCAGGGGTCAGTCCTGCAGGATTCAGGGGACCCTTTGTGGTGGTGGGAATTGAACCCAGGTCAACCTCCTGCAAGGCAAGTGCCCTTGCCGCTGTACTATCTCCCCACCCCCCACCCCAGTCTCCTGATACCTTCCACTAAGGGGATTCTGTGCATGTGACTTAACGCCTCTTCTCCATGAGCAAACCCAGCAGGGATGAGGGTTTGTCTGCCCCGTTCATGGCACCGGAAATATTTTGCCCAGCCCCAGCAGGTGCTGCCTCAGCACTTGTTGGATGAAGGAGCAGAGTAGAGGCTGTGGGTGCAGATGATGTTTTCACACGTTCTCGGCAGAAGAGAGAATCAGAGTACACGCTAGAGGACAGTGTGGGGTCAGAGGTGTCTGAGTTGAGCACTCACAGGCAGAGATTTGAGAAGCTTGTGTATGTGTGCAGAGGGGAAGTGACACAGAGGGTGGCCACTAGTGCCTGCGACCCAGACCAGGTGCAAGGAAGGGCCCACCCACCCCCAATCAAGGCTAGGCCGCGCAGGGGTGCAGGGGTTGGCTGGTAGGGCAGGTGGGACTCTTGACTTTTCTCAGTGAAATCAGAACTGGAGGCATCACATAGGCAGAAGAGGGGACTGGGAGGTTTGGTCAAGATGGGGATGCCAAGTGATTCTATAGACCAGGGAGGGCTGAGGACGAGGGCGGGTTCTGGGAACCACAGGCCACAGAACAAACCCAGGGTAGGCTGGTGCTGAGGAGCAAGACACGGGCTGAGGGTGCGCAGGATGGGTGGTGGAACAGGGATGCTGGGAGCTTGCGGATAGCAGGAGGCACTTGGAAGTGGACATGGGGAAGTGGCAGAGTCAGAAAGAGGGTCTAGCACACGGGATTTGGTTTTTGGGCCACACTGATCAATGCTCAAGGATCACTCCTGGCTCTGAGCTCAGGAATCACTCCTGATGGTGCTTGGGGTACCATGTGGGATGCCGGGGATCCAACCCAGGTCGGCTGTGTACAAGGAAATGCCCTCCCCACTGTGCTGTGCTCCAGCCCCGCACATGAGATTTGAAATGGCTCTTGGGTAGTGTGTGTGTGTGTGTGTGTGTGTGTGTGTGTGTGTGTGTTTTCAAAAAGTCTCTTCCATTTTTATTGGTGTACTGTGTTACTCTGGATGATAGTTTTATACATACATCATTACAACTCCACCCTCACCACCAAGGCGTCCTTCCCCCCACCAGAGGGCCTGTTTCCCACCACCAGTGGAAACAACCCCTTCCATCCACCTGCCTCCCGCCCCAGCTCAGTTCTATAGACCAAATTTCTAGTTCTGTTGTCTTTGGTTATTTGTTACTCCCTTACTATATATCTTTATTTTATTTTGAGGTGGGAATATTTGGGATACACCGGGTGGTGCTCAGGGCTTACTCCTGGCTCTATGCCCAGGGATCATTTCTGGTAGAATTTAGGGAACCATATGGAGTTCCAGGGATTGAACCTGGGTTTATCACATACAAGGCAAGAGCCCTACCCACTGTCTCTCTAGTCCCTATAGATAAAATTTTATTGGCACACAACCTCACACTTTTCCTTGCAAAGTTCTATTGGCACACAGTCACACACATTTTCTTATAAAGTTTCATTAGCACACAGCCACACGCATTCATTTTCTTATAAAGTTTTATTGGCATATAGCCACACACTTTCCTTATAAAGTTTCCTTATAATTGACACATGCATTTACTTCCTTATAAATAAAATTTTATTGGCACACTTTCTTTTCCTTATAAATAAAGTTTTATTGGCACACAGTCACACACTTATTTCCTTATCATCCATGTCTACTTTTAGGCTACAAAGGGAATCTGAGTATTTCTTGCAAAGGCATAGACCTGCAAGCATAAATAATTTTCTGTCTGACCCTTTACAGAAGCTTGCTAGCCCCTGTTGATATCAGTGGGGCCTGATTTTCACTGCACAGCAACTTCAGTGGCAGTTACCTGCATCTTTCCAACCACAGTGCCATGCATGCCCTCACCCCCATAAAATAAGGGTTCCTGAGAATAGGCTTCAAGCTTTCATGTGTTTTTTTAAAAACTGCTGAGATGATTTCAACATGTAGCCAAGGTCATTAACTACCGCTCCATGTTATGAAACAGATTCAGGAAATAGTTTTCATCCTAAAGAGAAGAAAATACTGGGCTTGCTGGATCCAGTGGAAAGGATGATTTCAAGTCAGTAGCCCTGTTTTCAAGTCCTGACTTTTTTTTTCTGGGTTTTTGCCTTTTTTTTTTTTTTTTTTTTTTTTGCTTTTTGGGTTGCACCCAGTGATGCACAGGGTTACTCCTGGATCTGCACTCAGGAATGACTCCTGGTGGTGCTCAGGGGACCATATGGGATGCTGGGAATCGAACCCGGGTCGGCCGCGTGCAAGGCAAATGCCCTACCTGCTGTGCTATCACTCCAGCCCCAAGTCCTGACTCTTGATTGACTGTAATCTTAGGGAATCAGTTTACCTCTCTGTTCCTTATTTTGTTGTTGCTCTTTTGTTTGGGGGTTACACCTAACAGTGCTCAAGGCTTCTTCCTGGTTCTGTGATCAGGGTCACTTTTGACAGGGCTCAGGGGACCATATGTGATACTCAGGATCAAACTGGGGTCAGCTGGGGCTGGAGTGATAGTACAGCAGGTAGGGTGTTTGCCTTGCATGCAGCTGACCTAGGTTCAATTCTCAGCATCCCATATGGTCCCCTGAGCACTGCCAGGAGTAATTCCTGAGTGCATGAGCCAGGAGTAACCCCTGTGCATCGCTGGGTATGACCCAAAAAGAAAAAAAAAACTGGGGTCAGCTCTGTGCAAGGCCGGTGCCTAAGCTGCTTTACTATCTCTCTAGCTCTGACAAGGAGGATGTCACAGAATAATCCCATTTTTCCATTTATTTTGTTTTACATGGTTTTGTGGTGCTGGGAATCAAACTCAGAGCACTCAGACACAGGGGGCATGTACTCTATCACTGAGTTGCCTTCCTGGTCCTCAGCCTTCATGTTCATTTTTGGGCCACATCCAGTGATGCTCAGGGCTTACTCCTGGCTTTGCACTCAGAAATTACTCCTGGTGGTGCTCAGGGGACTATAGGGGTTGGCTGGTTATCAAATCTGGGTCACCTGTCTGTAAGGCAAGCACCATACCCACTGTACTATCTTTCTGGTACCCTGGTCTTAAAGATTAGGTGGAAAAATAGTCTATGGAAATGCTCCATAACTGGGAATGCCAAACACATATTCTTGTGCCCACAAATAGTTTGCTCAGCATCCTGTAGATTCATGTGCAATAAACATTAAATATTTAAAAGTGAATCAAATTAGAAAATTTGAATTTAAATATAATATAAGCAGCAAAGACAGCGAAAAATAAAAATGAGTTATTCATAAAGCATTTCTCTTTTCCGAAGCAAAGTGACTTTAGATGGTTAAAAGCCACTTTAAAAAAAAGATTGGTATAAATATACATTTTCCCCCAAATAAAATTTTCTATGGAGATTTGTTCATCACCACTGTGGGACTTACAAGTGTAATGTGCAGGTGGGAGGCTAAATTAGGAGTTGCTGTGGAACCTGCAGGAAAGCTTTTGCATCAGGAGTCCATTGGAGACCTTCTGGAAAACTCTCTGGGTCTGGGCAGGAACACAGGCCAGGCTGCAGGGAGTCAAAGGAGTGGACAGAGAGGAAACCAGGCAGTGGCAGCCTGGCCCTGGCTTTTGCTTGCTCTTTGGCAGAAAAGAGAAAAAAGAGGGGCTGGAGCGATAGCTCAGTGGGTAGGGCATTTTCCTTGCATGCGGCCGACCCGGGTTCAATTCCCAGCATCCCATATGGTCCCCTGAGCACCACCAGAAGTAATTCCTGAGTGCAGAGCCAGGAGTAACCCCTATGCATTGCCTGGTGTGACCCAAAAAGCAAAAAAAAAAAAAAAAGACAAAAGAGAGGGTGTAACCCCAAAGGGCAGGCAGTTCATGGAAACCCTTATCTCAGCACCTGTTTGCATTTGTGGAAGTAGGAAGGGGGTGATGGGGAGTGAGAGTGGGGCTGTGACCATGTGTCTGTACAATGGAGTCCAGACTCCCCTGGGGTAGGTGGGGAAGGGGCTCCTGCAGAAACCAGTGATTCTCAGCAGGGAGGAGTGGATCCCCTCCGTGTGCTGCCTCTTCATCTCATCTCGCCCATCTGTTCCTGCAGTCCCAGCAGTTCCCCTAAATCGTAAACTGTTGTAGGTCCCAGATCCCCAGCCTCAGTTACACCCAGGGGCCACATCCCTCATGAGGGCATGTTTGCCAAGTGGACACTGAGTGCTGGAAGCAAGAAGGGAAGGCAGGGCCTTGTGAATGCGTCAGTTCAGGGGCCAGCCTGCTGGGCTGCTCAGGCTAAAATGGGCCCCAGCCCAGGCGGAGATAAGGGGGTCACAGCCCAGAGTGCTGCAGTTCAAAGTTGCTTCTCCTGGGAGCCTGCCCCCGACTTGCTCCTGTCTGTATCCCCTTTCCTGGAGCCTGTCTCCCCAGGGAAGAAGCTGCCTGTCTCCTTGTCTGTAGCCTCACCCCTGCTGACCTGTCCAGGCCGAACCTCTCTCCTCCTGGCCTCTGTGATCACATTACTGAGCACAGACACACAGACACACAGACACACACACACACACACACACACACACACATACATAAACACACACACATACAGACAGACATATACACACACAGAACAGTGCCTAATGGGTTCTCCATAAATGTACTGGACAGGGCTCAGCCAAGCAGTGGGAGACCCGAATCTTGAGAACAGGGTCTAAATGACCTCTCTACGTCTTTCTCTTTCAAATGCTGCCCTCGCAGGTGGAGATTCTGTACCTGCTAAAGGACTTCAGCCCTCTCCACGTCCACAAAATCCAGAATGGCTGCAAATGGTAATGATCTTCATTGTGTAGGAGGGAGCAGGGAGCACCCCTCCAGCTCCTGGGCAGCCACTGCCAGCTGCCAAAGCCACACCCATGAGGCCTTGGCACAGCGGTACACGGAGACCCCTCTTCTGTATAACCCTGACCCAGCAGCTGGTCCCCCTGCAGCGTGGACACCCAGAGACCCGGGTTTGCTTCTGGCTCTGTTCTTGCCAAGGTCTCAGCTCCATTGCTGTGCCCTTGAATGCCCAGGAAGTTGGACTACTCATCTTTTATCATTTCCAGGGCCATAAATGTGCTTTGAATTCAGGGTGGACTGGAGAGAAACCCGGAACCAGAGCCATGTGGTTTGGGGAATTGAGCCCACCATGACTGTGGTCCCTGGTGCCAGAAGAGCCCTCTTGTGGGTGTGGATGAGAGGGACCATCATCACATGCCTGACAGTGCTCAGAGACTGCTCCCAGCTCTGTGCCTAGGGCCTCACTCCCTGAGCTCACTCCTGCAGTGCTCGGGAGCCATGCCCTGCTAGCTCCAGCCCCCTGACCTATCCCTCCGGTCCTGGGACCCATTCTGAGGAATGGCAGCATTAGGGGGTGGCATGGGGGTGCAGACATCACCAAGTCCAGTTGCAGGAGCCTCACATGCTGGTCCAGCCCTTCACCTCCCATCTGCAGACCATGCAGGTCCAGAAACTTCCTGCTGGGCTGTGAAAATGTTACTTCCTCTTAGGGCTACGACCATGGCTCAGGTGATTGAGTACATGCAAGACCCTAGGTTTGATCCCTGTCACTGCATGACCCCTCAGGCATTGACAGGTGTGGCCCTGTGGCCTCTCTACACCGCTGGCTATACATCCCAGAGTGGCCCCTATAAAGCAAGTTAGTGATGCTTAAACCATGGCCCCCCAATCAGGCAACAAGTGGAGTGGGACAGCAGATGGGACAGGAAGTAACTGGGCCTCATCATACAGAGATTCCTGGGGGAGCCCCTGTGCCCCCCACCCAGCCAGCTGTGAGCCTGCAGGGCCCACTGGCCACCTTGGATGGCTGGCTGTGTCCCCAGCGCCCCACCTCCTGAGACCTGCTCACAGCTGCCTCTGTCCTCTGCAGCTTTGCTTTCGTCGATCTGGGCTCCGTGCAGAATGTGGCACTCGCCGTGCAGAAGCTGAACGGGACGTTCTTCCATCAACGGAAGCTGTATTTGAATTCAAGTAAAAATGTCTTCAAGAGGACGCAGGGCGTGGCTGGGAGCACCCGGGAGCTGCTGGTATGGATTCTGATCCCCTCTGCTCTTGTCTAGGGTGTCTGCGTGGCCCTTGCGCCAGGCTGCAGGGCACGGAGCCTCCCCTCCCGCCATCTGCACTCTGTGCTACAGAGAAGGCAGGAGCTAGGGTGACACAAGGGACCGTTCACAGATGACCGTGGGGTCCAGGCAGAAAACGTGGCATTTGCCAGCCAGGGAAGTTCCCTCTTGATGGACAGGAATGCTTCGGGGGCATCTCCAGTGGGGGAGGGGGGTCGTTGAAAGTGTGTGCCTCAAGCAGCAGCCTCCGGACTGCCGAGGGGAGGGTTAAGATGAAAATAAATGAAATCTGCTTCCTCATGGGAAGGCAAGTAGTAGCCAAAGTGTGAGAGTAATGATGGGAGACGGCAACGGGCGGCTGTTCTGTGGTGGTGGGGTAGACAGGGGGGGACCTTTAGGCCCTCCGGCTCCCTTCCCAAGATTGTTTCCCAAAGTGATTGATATCATCCCCCTTGGGGTCACTGGAGAAGTCCAAAGGATGGGAGTGTCCTCAAGTGCAAGTGGGGACTTCACAGAACAGGTAGGTTTAAAGGTAGATTTCCGGTGCTGCTGAGTGATTTGATTTTTCCTGGAAAGGGGGCAGTCAGCCACGTATGTTCGGGGTGGCGGTGGGGGAGGGGCTCAATTCTCAGGTGAAGGTGAACCGGAAGCAGGGGATTCCCTTGTTAACAAGCATATGACTCCGCGCATATGTGAGAAAATAACTGAGCCAGAGGAGTTAGCGCTTCTACAGAGGAGTTCAGGGGGCAGAGATGCCCAATGGGGTCAGGGGTCCCCACACGTTTTCAAGGCTCCTGCTGCAAAGGGAAGAGACAAGAGAGCGACGACACTCTCTTCCATGGGGGGCTGCTCCCAGCACAGTTCTGCTGGAGCTTTCTTACCCCTGAGGGCTTAGAATGCAACGGGGGAGGGGTTTAGTAGGGAGGGCATTTTTTAAAAAATTTTTATTAGTGAAACACCATGAGGTACAGTTGTAGACTTACAAATTTTTGTGCTTGGGTTTCAGTTATACAATGATCGAGTACCCATCCCTCCACCAGTGCCCATTTCCCACCACCAGGGATCCCAGTATCCCTCCCACCCCACATCCCTCCATCCCACCCAGCTTCTGTGGCGGGACATTCCCTTTTGTTCTCTCTCTCCTTTTGTGTGCTGTGGTTTGCAAAAGAGGCATTGAGTGGCAATCATGTTCGGTCTATAGTCTACTTTCAGCATGCATCAGGGAGGGCATTTTAAGGCAGGCCTGGGGCTGCTGACAGGGGCTCTGTTAGCAAGAGAGAAGCATCTTGGCAGGCAAGGTCCTCCCCAGGGCTGGACTCATTGGAACTGGATGTTGTGAGCTGGACTGGAACGGCCACCTCTCAGCTGCCAAGGGAAGCTCCCTGCCCATTCAGACCATTTCTTGTGGTGCTGGGGTGACTCTCAGCCCAGTGCTGGGTATTGAACCTTGACCTCGTTCATGCCAGACATGTGCTCTGTCCACTGTCCGCCATTTAGCCTGCTTCGATTTCCTTTATTTTTAATTTAAATTGTTTTGGCGTCATACCAAGTGTGCTTAGGACTTACTCCTGATTCTGTGCTCAGGGGGTCACTTGTTGTAGGGCTCAGGGGACCTATTGGTGTGCCTGGGATCGAACCCTGATTGGCGATGTGCAAGGCAAGCACCCTACCTGCTGTACTATCTCTCCCTCCCCTTCTTCCATGTCCTTTAAATGCCACCTGTCTGGATGGGGAGCCCTGGGGCCAGGCCACCTGCTGGTGTCGGCAGCGTCTGTCACTCCCCCCATTCACAGGTAACCTCTGCTTCTGGGTGACCATCTCTCCTTCCTGGGGTAACCCATGATTCCTGGCCTTGTGGGGGATCCAGAAGTGACCCCTCATTGGGGGATAACCCCACCCCTCACCTCACAGTCTCCTCATTGCTGGTCAGAAGCCTCTCTAGAAGGCCTAATTCAAGCATTGCACCCCACTTCACCCACCCACCCCTTCTTTGATACCCATTGAATTCTGGAAGAGGATGTCTCAAACAGGTGATGAAAATCAAAGTCACTGAGAGTTTGGGCAGTTGGATGGTGTTCATCTCAGACCCTACTTTCCCCCCTCCCCATTTTATTTTTATGAAGTTCTTCACAATAATTTATTACATTCAATATTCCAACACCAATCCCACCACCATTATACTTTCCCGCCACCATTATTTCGAATTTTACCACCACCACCCAAGCCTGCCCCCAGAGAAGGTCCTAAATAATTTATTTTGTATAGCTTGTTATGAATAACATGCTAAAAATGATCCAAAAAAGTTTTCTTAGAAGAAAATGTGTGAAGATTGTTATATCTCACCCTAGAGCCATTAAGCCCTTGTCTAAGAGATTACTAACATATTGTTCCATGCTGAGTCTTGTGTGCTAATATTTATTTTTTTAGATTGAGGTTGATTGTCTTCTACCTTAACCCCAACAAATGTGGTGTGCTACTCTTGGTACATCCATCCGTGGAGTAGAGTGTGAAAGCTCACACAGCTGCAAATGTGGCCACACGCTTCAAGGATTCTAAAATTTTAAATAGGGAGATACAACTGGAGATGATGGGATCGGGAAGCATCTCTGCAGCTTCTTTCTTTCTTCCAAGATTTATATGTGAATCTCTGGATCATGGCTGTTAGTAAGCTTATATGGCACTGGAGGAATTTCAGGGTGTGACTGCCAGGCTCCAGGAAAGACAGGGAAATGGGGGGAGGTCACCCATTTCCAACTCTGTGAGAACCTGGAGATTTTGATCACAAAAACTGCATACCTGAGTTTTTCAGCAGATTCATTCTCATGTGTGAGGGGCTTGTCCCGAGCCTGTGGAGATCAGCCAGGAGCATGGCATCGATTGGGTTCTCCAGGTTTTTGACTGCTAGAGCTCTATTGGGGCTGGTGCTGGGCTCACCAGCCCCCATCTGGGTGCCCCAGATACGAGGTTCAGCCTGGTGTGGTGTCTGGAGTCATCTCTGCCGCTTGTGATTCTCTACCGAGGTTTAGTTGTGAGTCTTCAGACCCTATTTTGAAGAGCAAGACTGAAGCCCCCAGTCTAGCAGTGAGCTGCTGTAGACCCCATGCACTACCCCTGCAGTTTCTGCTCTCTTTCCTTCTTACCTCAGAGTCTGTGGCTATGAATAGGTGCAGCTGGCCTCCCCTCTCCAGGGACCTGCTCTGAGTGGAATCCAGCCACCCGCCTCTCTGCCTGTCCTCCCACCTTGCTGATGGCCCCCGTCCTTCCCACACGCCAAACTCACCTGTTCACCTGCTTGTAGTTTTCAGGCATTTCTGCTATTTTTTCTTTGTTATTAAACCTGGTGAATTCATTTCCATTTTAGTCATTCTCTCTCTCTCTCTCTCTCTCTCTCTCTCTCTCTCTCTCTCTCTCTCTCTCTCTCTCTCTCTCTCTGTTTTGGGGCTACACCCTGAAATGCTCTGCACTCAGGAATTGTTCCTGGCGGTGTTCAGGGGACCATGTGGGATGATGGAGATTGAACCTGGGTCAACTGTGTGCAAGGCAAACACTCTGCCTGCTGAACTGTCAGCCCCAAGACTGTGTATTTTTCAACTCCCCCAGTACCTCTCACTCCCATTTCTGAGCTAAAATTGCCCACCTTCTGTCCTCTGGCCAACCTGTTCTTCAAGGCTCTGGAATGTGTTTATGACTGTTATGGGGCCACTTTTTTGCTCATTCCGCCTCATTGGTGGTTCCAGTCTCACTGATGCCTCCTTTATGGTGGGTCCAATTCTCAGACTTCTTTATAAATATCATCATTTTTTATTGTAAGTTGGCTATTGTGGATGATTATCATAGAGAAGTGGTGATGTAGTCTTTATTGTTGATCTTTTTCTTGGCAAAAAGTGAAATGTCTGGGTAATCTCTTGATTTGATCAAGGTGGGTTTGTGCTGTCAGTGGGCATTCCTCTGTGCTGTATTTCCTCTGTGCAAAGTCCTTTTGTCCTGAGACTTGGAAAAACCAAGGTGGGTTAGAGTCTCGGGGTGCTCCCCCATTTGGCTGGGGAGCAGTTGCAAGCCCCTACCTGCTCTCCCAGCTCCCTCCCTGCACAGCACTCCCCCCCACAGTACCACTCATTCCTCCACACAGCACCCCTCTTTCCCTCACAGTACTCCTCCTTTCCCCCATAGTACCCCTCCTCCCCCCACGGCACCCCTCCTCCCCCCATGGCACCCTTCCTTCGCTCATGTACCCCTTTTTTCCCTCCCCCATGGTACCCCTCCTTCTTCCCCCATGGCACCCCTCCTTCCTGGACATCCTGCGCCCTGCATGGGAGCACTTTAGATTGTGTCCTGGACATATTTTACCCAGAAACAGAACATTCCAGATTTATATATATTCTTCCTAAGAATAAAATAAGAGAACTATATGGTTCATTCCACAAGGCCAGGAAAGCCTTGATATCAAACCAGACATGATAGCGTAAGGAAGCTTGTAGGCTTCCTTCACTCATGAGCATTCTCACAGCATTTCTAAATAAAATGCTGGCAAAGCAAAGTCAGCATTTGCTGGTGAAGGGAGAATATCCTGACAAGCTCGCCCCCTAGACATACTAAAAGTAGTTTAATATTAGAAAAACTTGGTCTTTCACTAACAGATTAAAGAATGAAAACTATGATTATCTTAAATAGAAGCAGCAAAAGCATTGAACAAAATTTAGCTCAAATTTATGGTTTTAAAAAATAAGCATTCTTAGTTGCTGAAACTAGGATATTCTCACCCAATAAAAGCTATCTACCAAAACCTCTCAGAAAACAGTATTTTAAGAGAGGAAACATGAACATTCTCTTTAAAAGAACTAAACAAGGACGCCCACCACTGCTCCAGCATATACTGTGATGGGCCTTGTTCTGTTCTATAGGACAAGAAAGGCAAAGACTTAAATTTTAGAATGGGAGGAACAAAAGTTATTGTTTATTAATAGAATTTCTTTACGATGGAGGACTTCATCTACAAGCTATTAGAAATAATAATTTAAGGGAGGAGGATCTAAGAGATCTTCTACACCAAGATCAGTTGCATTTGCCATGACTGAGAAATCTCACGCGCGCGCGCATGCACACACACACACACACACACATACACATTTTAAAAATAGACCATTTTATAAGAGCAATTTAAAAGGCATCAGGTTCCTAAGGAGGAAATCTGATGGAAGGGGAGTGCAGCCTTCTGTTGGGGGCAGTCCTGAGCTTTCTGGAAGTCTGTCCAGTGCTGGGAGATGGCTTTGTGGCTACATGCCTTCCTGGGAGTGTCAGGCTTGGAATATGATGCCCTATTGCTCCCACGTGTCCTGAGCATGATCCCAGCAGCTCTGCCAGCACCGCCCCTGCAGCGTGTGACCCCTACAAGCACTGCAGCTCGAATACGTGAGAGCACAGGTGAGCCTGAAGCTGAATGCATGAACATCAAGACCCACTAACTCTGCCTACAACCCCCAGGCTCTGCAACACTGATAGAGGGGTGGGGAAAATAAGTTAAAAAAAAAATATATATATATATAATAAAAAGCAAGTCTTGGGCTGGAGTGATAGTACAGTGGGTAGGGCATTTGCCTTGCACACGGCCGACCCGGGTTCGATTCCCAGAATCCCATATGGTCCCCCCTGAGCATCACCAGGAGTAATTCCTGAGCATCGCCAGGTGTGACGCCCCCCCCCCAAAAAAAAAGAAAGTCTTAATGGGAAGCTCATGAAGAAGTAGGAAAAATGTCTTGATCATGAATAAAAACAGTAAGAATTATTTGGGGCTGGAGAGATAGTACAGGAGTTAAGGCACTTGTCTTCAAAGCAGCTTATCCTAGTTCCATCCTAGAGCCCCCATAGAATCCCCTAAGCCTGCCTTTCCCCTCCCCCTCCTTCCCTCTCTCCTTCTCCTAAGCCTGCCTTTCCCCTCCCCCTCCTTCCCTCTCTCCTTCTCTCCCTCTCTCCCCACTAAGGTTTGCAATACAGGTACTGACAGGTTATCATGTATGTCCCTTTACCTACTTGAAGCACTCAATTTTTGTTCTGAATGATCATTTCCAACTATCATTGTCATACTGGTCCCTTCTCTATCCTAACTGCCCTCTCCCCAACGCTTGTGGCAAGCTTCCAAGCTTGGGCCAGTCTCCTGGCCCTCATTTCTACTGTCCTTAAGTAACAGCCTCATACTATGTTTTTATATTCCATAAATGAGTACAGTCATTCTATGTCTGTCCCTCTCCTTCTGACTCATTTTATTCAACATTATACTCTCCATCTATAAGCAAATTTCAGGCTTCATTTTTTCTAATGGCTACATAGTATTTTACTGTGTAGATGTACCATAATTTTTAAAAATACTAGCCTATTATCTCACTAGAATATATTCTTTTTTTTCTTTTATTTATTTTTTATTATTATTTTTAATTAGTGAA